ATAGATATATACTGTAAATACAAATAAATAATTAAATAATAATTCAACAATTATTACCAAAATTTCTATTCTACAGATAACCTTGTCAAAAACCACAACTTTAAATAATTTAAATATAGATCAGATAACGAGAACAATAATTAGGAGTTTTTTAACTATTTCAGACTGCACTACAAAAAAGTAAAGATAAAAATACATCTAACCATGGCCTACTATAATTACACAGTCGGATATCTTGCTTTTCGGAGCGAAAAATTAGAAGGGTAATTTTTAGTCAATACGTGTGCTGTAGTTTATTGTAAAACTGGATATAAAAAGAGGGAGAATCAAATTGATGTCATTCCTGAAAAGCATCAACTTTTTGGATTTCCAGAAAATAATCCTGCCTTATTTAAACAGTGGGTAGCATTTGTCAATTGAAAGTTATGGAAGCCCAGTAAGAGTTCGGCTATTTGTGCTAAACATTTTGAAAAAAAATATTTAAAAATTGGCAATAGAGTAACATTAGTTTGGGACTTTGATACCGTTCCAACTATTTATTGCTTAACTGAAAAAATACCACTATCAGTATATCCAACTACATCAAAAACTAGAAAGCCACCGTCTGTCTGCCATTTATTAAACAATCAGGATGAATCCAGTATATTTATAGAAAAAGATAAAATTCACTGTTTAAGTGATTTAAATAATTTTAACCTTGAAGGGTATCAGCTTAAAATATTTAATGGGAAATACATATTTTTTAAGTTAGAAATTAATCAGCACTTAGGTATTTTTGAAGTTACAGAAACAATTGTAGTTGATGAATTTATGGATATTTCATTGTTTTTTAAATCATCTTATATTCCATTGTCTCCATGGTTTCGAAATACTGGCTGTGTATTGAAAAAAAAAGTGTATTGGAGAATTTTCCAGCCTATATAAAAAATTACGTTGAAGAAAATACTTTGTCAAATGGTTAAATAACTAAACTCAATGAAATAAAATACAAAAAACCAGTTGATCAGCCAAAGTTTTCATCAAATCTTTTACGATATTCCCTTATTCTTCAATATACATCAGCGCAGGCTTATAAAATCTTATAAGAACAGTTTCCTACACCATCATTTAGTCTTTTGAAAAAAATTAGTAAAAAAATAGAAAAAAAAAAGGTTTCAAATTATCTTACAAATCACTTCATCCAGGAGATAATAAACAAAGTGTACCACTTGCTCTTGCAATATTTGATCCTACAACTTCTGCAGCTATTGAAAGTTATTTTTCAGATAGGACTGATGCCTCAAGCTTTTTAAAGTTGATAAATATATGGTGGACAATAAGTAACAGTAAGCAAAAATGTTATGGGTGACATGAAACCTTTATTTTTGAGGAAACTAGCCAAATGGATTGAGACTTGGCAATTATCTCTAGTTTTCGACTCTCAAAAGTTTACATTAAGTAAACAAACATCAGAAGCGTTAAGGGCCACTTTAAGATGTACAGCTTCACTTATTGATGATTTAATTCAAGAAGGGTATCATTATTTTTTAGTATCACGCTTGCAAACTGATCCATTAGAACTAAGATTTTCAAAGTATGGTCAAATGAGTGGTGGTAGATTTTTAATTGGTTTGCGTGAACTTGAAACATCTGAGTGCATATTAGCTTTGAAAACTTTACTTAAAGAGTCAGTTAATATCTTGGAGGAAGATGTTAGAAAAGAGAGGTGTAATATATCTTTACTTAAATTATTTAATGATAAATTGCAAGAAATTTTACCAGATATTGAAAAATGCAGTTTAGATTCAGAGAGCTCTGAAGTTGCTACAGTTATTTCTGGTTATGTGGTTAAAAAGTTTAATAAAAAGATCAAATGTAGTATTTGCAAAACTTTTCTATTAGCTGAATCTGGTGAGCTACAATGTCAATATTTAGAAAAACTTTCTCGTGGTGGATTGATTTTACCAGCTATTGATCTTACACATTATGTTGCCAAAGCATTTGCAATATTAGATACTGCCATTTTGCTCATAAGAGACAACACTTTCTGATCGATATGCTGCAGAACGAGTACTTAGATTAAATGATTGTGCTTCTTCATTCTTATGCGATGAACATCAAATTATTGGTGTAAAATTTGTAAATCCCGTTGTTGTAAATATTCATTTTAGCAATGAACAGAAACACTTTTCTGATGAAATTCGAAAAAACAGTGTAAAGGATTTTAAATGCAGACAAAGAAAAAGATTAAAGCTGAACTAGTTAAATTAATAATCAATTAAGCTGAATTGAATTGAAGTAGCTAATGCTAAATTATACAGCTGACTTATTTTACTTTTAATGTATACTCTTCCTTTATTGTTGGGTTTTTGTTTATCATGTATACAATATGAGGTACATCTTTAAATTAATTAAGTCAATACAAATTTAAATATTTTATTATTAATAAAATTGTTATAATTTTATATTGATGAACAAAGTACAATATTATATTCTCTTATTCTTAAGTTTTTAGAAACATTATCATCAGGCTAAAGAAAATGTCTAATTTTTGAGACTTAAGTTATATTTGTCAAACAAGTTTTATATTGTATACACACTTCTGTAAACAAAAATCCGTATAAAGATTTTAGTTTTAATTGCGGTAAGTGTGGTCAATCATGCTATTTGATATGTTTATGTTTTGAAAAGTTACCCTTCTAATTTTTCGCTGCGAAAAGCAAGATATCTGACCGTGTAAATATAGTAGGCCATGCATCTAACATATTATTTTATTTAATATATACCTTCTTTCCATGCATTTATACTCTATGTGGTTTATCCTCGGCCAAATTATTGCCATATTAAGGCTACACACCAAGGCCCACGAAGATGAGTTTAGCTTACTAATCACAACCCCTTTGCAGACCAAGGGTAAATTTTTAGTAGGATGAAGGATATTAGAAAGAAAGTTAAAAAAAGTCAATTTAGAAAGTCGGCATAGGGACAGCTAATTACACTAGGTGTTAGAATGTGCAACTTATGTTCAACATCAAGTTCACTTGATAGGAACCTTTGTTGTGTATAAAGTTTTACATAATTTACCTAAATTTTATTGTATATAATATATATATATATAAAATATATATAATATATATATATATAAAATATATATATTATATATAAAATATATATAATATATATATATATATATATATATATATATATATATATATATATATATATATATATATATATATATATATATATATATATTATATATTATATATAAAATATATATATATATATATGTATATACATACTTACATACATATATAAATTTTATATTTTTTTTATCCATTTGTTTAACTAAAATATCGAAAAAAATTACACATTTATAATTTACAATATAAGGTTCGGTGTCACTTGTATAGTTTAAAACTAGTCATTGGAGTGACACCTTAATGAAATAAACAAATAAAAAAGTCAGAATAATAACTATAAAGTAAAAAAGGGAATGAGTTGAGAGATAATGAATGAATGAGATAACACAATGTTTAACGATCAGAAGTGTGATAGAAAATAAAAAAGAAATCAAAAAGCAATATTTAAATATGAGACAAAAAATCTTGAAATCACTTGAATCATAGCAGCAATGTAAAACGCAACAATAATAAAATAATTAGCAACAACACCACAAAACAAATAAATAATTTCAAATAAATGCACTGTCAGTCGCAAATTCAATATAATGTCTGAATAATATTGTGCATAAAACTTGACTTATTAAATATAACTTAGTAAATTATGTTTTATTTATTTACTATGCAATAAAATCCTTTTCTTATGAATTGAATTTTCTAAAGTTTATATTGTTTATTGTTTCTTTTATATACTATAAAAACGTAAAACTAAATAATATGGACTTTAAAAAATTCAATACATAAGAAACGATTTTTATACCATATAAACCCTATATAATATAGGAAACCAATTTTCAGAAGTACCTATCTTCAATAAATATCTATTTATAACAGCATCCTTAATCAGCACCTTAATTATAGAGAATTTATTGTAAATGCACTTTTTTAAAAACATACAGCACTTTAGATCCAGTAAAACAAATATAAATATAACATCTCTAACTTGAATTTATATACGTGTATAATTTCTACTCGTTAAAAAGAACTATGGCACTCTGTAAATGAGAGGCTATACTAAAGAATACTAAAATATACGGTTAAAGTCCGTAATTTAAAGTTAAGGAACTTTTCCTTATCATAAAAACGGACAAAATCATATAAAATGATGTGATTATTAGACAAAAGTCTTGAAGTGATGAAGTCTTGAAGTCTTGAAATGATGTGATTAATAGACAAAAGTCTTGAAGGTATTGGTAAAAGACCGTAATTTATTGAAAACGGATTTTTTCCGTAACAAAACAACGGAATTTGTCTGATAATACTACGGAGTTTTTTTACAGTGTAATGATAATTTTAAATTTGACTAGCAAATAACAAAATATTTTTACATTAAGTTTGTTGTCGTGAATTTATTCTTCATCGCATATTGGGTTGGACTTAGTACAGTATAAAGTTATTTGTATGTCAATTAGTTGATATCTGATTTTAGTGATAATTGATTAAAAGAGCATTCAAATTTTTAATTTTTTTGTTATACAAATAACAAATTCTGACAAATAAGTAAAGTTTAGCAAAATAATTTTTCGAGGAAAATCAATTTAATTTGCTTCTTGTTACTTAATTAAAATGAGGGTCTTAAAAGGAGGGTATTTAGATTTGACGTGGTTAAAGTTTTTGGGAAAATTTAGCTTATATATCTTAATATGTTATTTAACTCATTATCCAGTCTTATTTCACTCATTACCTTTTATGTAGACTTGTCCAATTGGTAACTTATCGGATGGTCAGCGAAGTCGTATTATATTTGCATGGTTAGCTTATCAAAATCCACACATGTTATTGCTTGATGAACCTACGAATCATTTGGATATAGAAACTATTGATGCATTAGCAGAAGCTATTAAGGAATTTAACGGTGGAGTGATTTTAGTTAGTCACGATTTTCGCTTAATCATGCAGGTAATCTATTTTTTAGTATTTAATTTATTTTGTATTTCTATTTAGTTTTTTTATTTGCCATATTAAGTTAAATATTTTGGTTAAATATTCTTGCCATTTTAATAATATTTTAAGATAAACATTTTAAAAAAGATTTTTTAAAAACAATATTTTAGGTTGCGAAAGAAATATGGGTTTGTGAAAAAGGGAAGGTGACGCCTTATAAAGGAGACATATTCCGTTATAAAAAAGAATTGAAAGCTAGAATTAAAGATATAGCTGTCAAATAATATCTAAATCTTATAAAATCTTTAGTTTTCCTGTTCTTTTATGGAAAAAGTGTTAAATGGAACTATATAGTCATATTTCGGATATCACTAATTTATTTATATTATTTCGCTTAATTTATGTTTTTCGTTTATTGACGTTTTAAGTTCCTTTAAAATTTTCGGTACTTTTTTTCTTCAACTAACGGAGTAACGAATTGACTACGTAGATAGTGTTGTCGGTAACCTGCATTTTTTAAAGATGTTAGCCGAACCTTCCATTAAAAACAATTTTGGGGTATATGTTACATATTGACGTTTCACTTTTAACACTTGTTTTATAAACTTCATTCGGATATTTCTAAAAGAAATAACACTATTACATAGAGGTTATACAGTTTATAACTATTGCTATTACAATTATTGTAATATATTGTCTTGAGGATGTGCAGATTTCTTTTTCATTAGATAGCGTAAATTTTGTCTTTTAAAGATAAATTTTATTTCAGTAACGAAAGGAAACATTAGCATTTCTTAAAAACGTAAGTGGTTGTATTGGAACTAACAAACAATTTGAAGTGAGCAAAACGCCATTTTCTTATAATTTTAAAAATGACATTACTGAAGTCGTTTTTAAGTGCGTTAATTTTAGCCGTAATGCATTATGGATGTCTTGCGGGACCAAATAATCCTAATTGTGAAATATAATTTTTTTTTTAATCTTTTTGAATTTTAATCAATTGATTATAATTGAATAAAATAATTAAAATCTTAGTGAAATATAAAATCTTTTGCATCTTACCAAAGGGCTTTCCATTAAAAAAAAATTTCTTTTATAAATTAAAATGATTTTATAGTTATTTTATAACATTGTTTATTTATCATCTAACATTATTTATATATCATCTAACATTAATATGTTTATAACATTGTTTATTTATCATCTAACATTATTTATATATCATCTAACATTAATATGTTAACGCAATAAAAATTTGATGTAAATTTAACATGTTTTGCGTAAGTCGTTTTTATCATGTTATCATTAATCGTTTTATATTAGTTTAAATATATACTCCATATTAATTTAAATATATAACCCTTAATTAGATGCAAAATATATAGTTAATAATACCGAGAGAAAAAAAGAAATATCTTGTTTCAAGAATTATCTTTAAAATAAAATCAAGTATGGGTAATGCGGGCTAACTTTTTTTTTTTTACATGCCTTTTCTCGTGGTGCCAAATCTCGATTATAAAATGTTGTGAAATAAGATATTTTCATATAAACAAAGTGTCTGATTAAACTTTTTTCTAAATGAAAACATGATCAACATGTTCATCATGAGGAAATGTAAAATTGCAATTGCTTTTCATTTTTATTGATATTTTTTTTGACATCCTGAACTCTTGTAAACTAAAAGCAGATAAATCAACACGCTCTGCTTTAACTCTAATTCGACAGCCTTTTTCATTAAAAATTTAATATTTAGAGTTAAAGCAGAGCGTGTTGATTTATCTGCTTTTAGTTTACAAGATGTCAAATAAAATATCCAGATTTTTAATGAAAAAGGTTGTTGACAAGACGTTTTCAGGCAATAGTTTAAGATCCTGGATCTAAATGACGATCTGTTAACTTTGGCACAAGTCAGACAGCATTAACCTTATCCAAATTAAAAAAAATTATTTTTTCCCGATGTTTTCATGATATTATTTTACCATCAGAAAAAATGTCATGTTTCATTAAATTGTTTCTAACATTTTTTATAAGATGTAGTGGATCAAATATATTTACTTTTGCTCCTGTTGTTGGATGTGAAATTTATTGACTTAACAAAAATCAAAAAATTTGAGAACTCTAATATTACTGGAGCTTTGATCAAAAACAAGACATCATACAGCTTACATATTTTATCTAGATGAATTATAGCATTATTTAGTTAAACACACAGTAATATTACTGTATTATTACTTTTACTAAAAATATGCAATTGGTTGTTTTCATTTTGTTGATAACCCGCGGACCATCAATACAAACACTTGGTTTACTGGTTTGCCATTAGATTGAATTCTAATGGTTTTGTCATTGTTTTTGTCATAATCAAAATGTTGCTTTAAAGATATTTCATCAAAAAATGTTTTTTCGTTCCAATTTTTTCATTGTATTTACTCGCATTTTTAGTAAATCCATAATTGGAAACCCTTATTGGAAAAACCAGGTTCAAGGGTCCCAATAGATTTTTAAAGAAACAATAAAATAGTGCTTCTAGCAGGTAATGAAAAAACTTTTCTAAACATTTTGAAAGCTTGTCGACTGTGATATATGATTCTCAAAGCTAAAATTTTATCTTCAGTCCAACGTTTTCCTTGTTTGACACAATAATCTGTTCTATTTAAACCATCGCATTTTTTTAAACATCGCATGCTTTAGCTTCAGGTTTTTAAGGGTTTTTTTAAGTCGAGAATTAAATTCTATTGGTTTTCTTAACTTAAGATGATAAATACTTATTTTTAAAAGTAGTTTTGATAGTTACATTACTTGTACTACTATTTTCAACATTATGTATTTCATTTAATTCGACTTTTTCATTGGTTTCTTTTTTTTTTGTGTATTTTATCTTGTAAATGAAGACTGTTTGTAGGTTGTTGTTTCATCATATTATGTATATTTTTTGTTTCAAAAAATTTAAAGAAAAACAGTGTTTTGAAAGCTTCTTTAATTTCTTGATATAGTACTAGTAATCAGGGCCGTACCGAAAAGGTCTCTCTTTTTTGTTAACTAGAACCCTTAAATAATAATAAAAAAAAGGTGGTTGATATATGACATTTGCCAATTATACTTCAAAACTTGCCAACTGAAATGCTAAATGTACAAATGTGATAACTCAAATGCATATATAACAGCTTTGATGAGGGGAGGAGGGGCAGCGGGTAAGTGGGACACCCCCTACACTCCCCGTTCGGGACGGCCCAGCTAGTACGACAAGTATAAACTTTTTTATTAAATCCTTTTTTTTTTTTAATTTCGCTTACATTTAAATGTCACAGTACAATTATATGCCGTAGGGTAGATTAGGGTAATATGAGCACCTTAAGCGAAAATTGGAGTATTTTCAAAAATAAATATGCTGGATCCAAAATTTTTGAAAATAAACAATTTTTAGGGATCCCTACTCATAATCCATTTAGACATTTATGCACCCGATATTTTTTCTTAAAAACACAGAAGTTTAAAAAAAGTAGCAACAGTGCTCGTATTACCCTGACCCCTTGGTAATATGAGCACTTTAAATTAGCTCAAAAAAATAGCATTAATTAAGTAAAAAAAGCCCAACCTGACTAATTGAACAAATTTTTGAAATATAAGGATTCGTGATTAACAAAACTTATCATTAAAAGATCAAATTTTAAACTACATTTTGTTGAAACAATACGACTATGTTTTCCGTAAAAAAAAAAAAAAATTAATACGTTATTTTTTCAAGTTTGTTAACTCAAACCTTTGAACAACAAAAATTCAAATTTTTTAAATTTAAGGTACAGAAAAATATTTAGTATTGTTAAAATATTAAAATTTTTTACTATGTTTTGTTTTTATTCAAGAAGCAATTAAAAACCACTGCTATTTTAGGAATTTAAACTGAGTAACTTCAATGAAAAACACTGGGTAATTTGAGCATGCTCATATTACAGAAAAATGGCATCTTTAAATAAAGTCAAAAATAAATATTTCTATGCATAATTTTTCAAACAAAAATGAATTAGATTTTAGCTAATATATTTTTCTTTATGAAAAAATTAATTTCATTATTTTAGCACCAAAACTTCGCGCCACAGAATTATTCACCCTTGATGATATTATTTTAACAAAGCATAAAATTTAAAAGAGTTTTAATTACATAATATCCGCTAATTACTGCGTATTTACGCTAATTGTACTGATTCCTGTTATCACCACATAAAGTCGATTCGAAAAACACAAAGCAACTTTAACTTCACTCCTTACATCTAATAAATCTTTAAGTATGCTCATATTACCGAGGTGCTCATATTACCCTAATCTACCCTAATATGGTGTTACAATTTTAAAAAAATTCTAATATCAGCATAATTAAAATAAGAAAAACACTCACATATATACACTTACATATTTATAGACGCGCGCATATATAAATTGCTAACAATTAAACATAAGCTAGGATATGAAAGAAGATCACAAGATCTTGTCGTCACAACCTTATAAAATACAAGCAAAAAAAGACAAGTATAACATACAATAAAATAAATTAAAAACAAAGATAAAAAAGTAATAAAATCCAAGTTAAATAACAATTTTCAAAATATTAGAAGTATCTAAGTATATTATCAAGTAAAAAAAAAACATTTTTTAAAATTAAACTTGAAAAGATAAAAGGAAGTTGGTTGATCGAAATTCCGCAGAGTAATATTATTCCATAGGTGGTCCACGATAACCAATGCAAAATTAATTAAATTTTGTGACAAAACAGCTTATTTAAAAAAATTATGTTTCTCGTATTGTATTTGTTGTTAGGTTTGAGTTGGAAAATATTATTAAAAGCGGTAGGGGATAAATTATTTCTCCATAAATATACAAAAAATAAAACTTTAAATACATTGAGTTCAAATAAATTTAATAATCTCACTTCAGTAAAAATATGTTTTATATGTGTAAAACGGTCAGCATAGTTAATTATGCAGATTGCATGTTTTTGACGACGTTAAAGAAGTTTTAACTTACCTTTTACAGTAGGGAAGACCGGGGCTAGTTGACTTGGTTTTTAGTCTATGAGCTCTGTAGTCCTAACGGAACATTTTTTTGAAAATATAAGTGTAGTTTCGAAGAGTATGAATTTGGGTAACTTATAAAAGTTGCATTTATTTATAAAAAAAATATTTTAAGCCTTTCTGGGCCCTCAAAAATAAAAAATAAAAAATTGCACCAACTTACCCCACCCTAAGGTAAGTTGCTTATACTCAAGGGGTAAGTTGACTCGCAATAAAAAAAGCTAAAGTTAATGGTCCTATTTAAGTGTATTCTAATAATATTTTAACCCCCCGCCCTTTTTTTTTAAAGGAATCATAGCTGAAATATACTTTTATCAATATTATCAAACTTT